GGACAGCTGCCAAATGAGAAACACCACAGTGCAAAGGCCATTCACGCATGAGAAAACAAAACCTCTGAGAGCAAAGTCTGCACTCAGTGTCACCACGGCACAGTGTTTAGACACAAAAAATGTGAGGTGTTACAGTGAGCTCATGGGCAATCTGTGCTCCCTTCCCCGGGACCCTGTGACTCTGATCAAGATAACCCTGGACCCCTCCTTCCTGCCCCAACGGGGTTGGCAGAGAGCCAGGGAAGCCCACCCTGTCCAAAGCCTATATAGACCCCTGACATTTCCTGTTCGTCCTCTTTTGCCCCGCTCTCCACATGGACATCACAGAATAAAGAGAGCTGAACCAACGTATATTGGGGTAAGAGCCTCTTTTGTAAATCTTTGCCATCTCCTGATATTCCTCCCCTCAGAGCCTAGGACCTCTGAGCTAGCCTAGGATATTTAGGGGGCTGTGCAAGGGGAGGAACATCAGTGAGTGTGCTGCAGCAATGCCACACTGATAGCTTTGTGTTGGCAGAGCACCTCTAAGAGGCTTTCCTCCAGAAATTTTAACAAAGCCTCTCTAAAACATCTGGACTAATGCAGGCAGCAAGGAGCTAGAGTAGTGATGTGGCTCTTGCAGAACAACCAGAACCAGAACTCGATGCCTTCTGTACACAGTGCCAAAGCAGGAAGGCACCCCAGAAGTGAGGGGTGAATCAAGGCACCAAGCTTGCAGATCTCAGCAAGGACATTGCAAAGTTGTTACTCACCAGCTCCATCACAAGCACACTTGGACAGAGCACACTTCCCCAGATTCATCAATTTACAGCCCGTTATGAATGTTGGGAGGCTATGGATTTTCATGTGCTGTTTCCTTTTGTTCAGTCCACTCCAAGGGGACAACTCTTGACAGGTCACTGTGGTCTAGGAATCAGACTGTGGAAGACAATCCTGCCAGCTGAGTCAACAGTGCCGAGGAGCAGTACACAGGAAGCTTGTTCTTACCATGCTAGTGCAGGCACAAAGGCATGATCCTAAAAGTGACACTGCTGGTGCTGCTCACCTGGAAACACAGAAAACAGGAGCTGGAGAGACCTACAGGGTCACCCAGCCCAACCTACTGAGCCAACAGGGGATCAAATTGACCTCTATTATATTTTTGGCACTTTGGCCAAGGCTCCAGGGAAGAAGCTGTCTGGGAAGCTGCTTCCTGTTGGACACTGAGCTTGCTGCAGTGTGTTTTCCTCCCATACTGTAGGATGCCATAACAAAGGGCAGCTTATCCACATCTGCAGCCCCCATCATGCTGTACACCTGACATCTCCTTACATTTCCCACTCTGGAAGGCAACCAGCATCAGTGCTCCCCTGGGAAAATCTACTGCAGGCCTTCTCTAGTCACAGGGCTTATTTGCCATCCTTCTCTTCTTCCCTTAAGTCTCAGGGCTGGCTTTTCCTTGAAGGCAGAAGAAGCCTGAGCACTAGAGGGTAGCTTTGAGCCTCTCTGTCCACTGTCCTTGGTATATGCCAGCTTTTGCCTAAGCCAGCTGTGTGTGCTTGCCAGGAGGAACTCCAGTATCGCAAAATCCACCAGTTTACTCAGCAGTTGTGTGCTGTGTCCCTTTCCTGGATTTTGCAATCTGTTTAAATCTGCTATGTGAAATCACTCCCAAATCATTTGTCAACATTAAAAAAGAATGTGCTCTAATTCTCCCTTTTGCTGCAGGCTCTGGGGTTACTTATGACCTTTGATGGGAGGTCCAGAGGCAAGCAGATGTTTCACTCATGTCCTCTCAGCAGGGCACAGAAAGAGGGATGGACATAAAGTGATGACTTCAGCTACCTCAACACCTTTGCAGCCCACTCTGTTTTGCTTCAGTCCTCAAGCTCCACTTAAGTAGAAGAAAGCACTTAGCAAGATCTTGTATGTGAGTAGGATTTGGGTAGGACCCAGGCCTGAGGCTTTCCTTTGAAGCGGGATCTTTCACCCTGATTGAGCACAGGGTGAAAGCACAGTTGACCCATGGGACAAAGGATTTGAACAGGACTCCAATGGACAGAAGAACTCCGGGAACAAACACTGCTGAGCAAACATTGAAGTAAGCCCACTGAGGAGCTGTACAGGTGAAGACCATCAAGCTGGGATAACTGAGCTGCCCACTCTCTTTCCTGCCCACAATTAGTGCTGTCTGCAGCAATGCTTGCTGTTTCCAGAGCTGTGTTTTGAGTTTTTCAGTCTGCTTTGCTCACAGCACCTGCTATGTGAAATGAGCCAGTACCAGCTCAAAGCCCAAGAGAAATGGAGCAGGTGCCTAAGGAAGTTCAGTGTTCCAGAGCACAGGGGAACATAAGAGATTGGAGAAGCTTTGCAAAAGCCATGGCAGTTGAAAGGGGAATAGAGGCTGATGGGGCTTTGTTAGTTAAAAACCCAACCAAAGGAGAACAAAAAAGAAAGAACAGTTTATTTCCAATGCTGGTATACATCAATATTGCACCTAACAGGAACACCAAGAGCAATACATATGCAAGTTTTCCAATCCTCAGCCATACACAATGGAGAACAAGATACAGAAAATAGTAAATCTGCCTATATATTTTTTCTGACGAGCAGTGTGTACAAATTAAAGCAGAGTGAAGTACAATCCTTATAAAGCAAAACCCCCCTTTAATGAGCTACTGTGATCTGAGCAGGCCATTTTGTGGAATATGTGATTTTTTAGTATCAGCTATTGATTAATTAATTGAGTCTCAGCTTTTGCCATTCAAGATCCCCTGCTTTCTTAATCTTCTGAACAAATCTTAAGGTAAAAGCTAAACAACTCCAGTATGGACAAACTCCCACTGAGCCAGATGGCTGCAATATGAGGATTAACTAACTCCCATCCTCCCTGCTTTCATCATGACTAGTTACTCTTCAGAACATGTTTAGGAGCCTCTGGTAGGAGAACTCATGCAACAGATAGGAACCAAAATGGACATTGATAAATAATTCCAAGAAGCCAAAGACCCCATTCAACAGCCTTTTTGCTTGGGGAAATTACCTCATTCAACCAATTCCAGATGTGTGCTTTAAAGCCAGGGATAATACAAATGGAAGCAGAACATAACTTTAAGGAACCAGATCTCAAAACAAACTGAGCAGATGTGCTGGAAAAGAAAGCTTCCATTTCTAATCCTGCACCTTGGCAGCTAACAAGAAAGATCAAGGGGCACACCATCACTACAAACTCATGACTGTCCTTACCCAGCGCAAGAACCGGGACAGTTTGGTATAGACACCATATTTGCCTTTTCTTGCACATCCTTCGCCCCAGCTAACAATTCCAGTAACAAAATAAGTATCCTTATACCTGGTCACATGGGGGCCACCACTGTCTCCTTGGCAAGCATCTTTTTGCTCTGTGTCATAACCAGCACAGAACATGTTCTCAGTTATGGCTAAGTTAGTGGATTGCTTGCAAGTGTTCCTATTAACATAGGGGACTTCGAGCACCTTCAGTTTTTTTGACGTTCGCCCGCCTTCAAATTCCCTCCCAAAGCCACTAACCCTCCCAGATTTCTGTTTCATCAGAACTTCATTAGCAAAGTCTGCTTTGGGGAGACACGCTGGAATGACGTACTCTGAAAACCTGACAGGTTCCTTCAGCTTTAATAAGGCAATGTCATTATCGTAAGTCTCAGCATTAAATTTGGAGTGAACTATTATTTTGTCCACAGTGTGCATTGATTCAGACTGCTCTTTCTTCTCTCTGTCCACTTCACCTGCACAAGATCATCAAAAGGGTCATTAATGTGGAGAAAGTATAAGAATTTCAGAACAATCTTGACAGAGGAAGAGAGTAGTATATTCATTCTGAGTACTTTGTCCTGGACCTTAGTCCACACAAGGAAACTGTAAACAGGTATGGCAATATTTCTTAGCAGCAGCTGAATTGGCCTTGGTCCTGAGATTTGGTCTATGGAGATTTTTGTACCAGTTTACACAAAGGCATAAGCTGATTCAGCTAAACTAATGCAATTTTGTGTGGAAGCACCTACAGGAACTTGAGCCTGACCTAGAGAAGAGAACATGGTCTGGACTACAACAGTGCAAAGATGAAGATGTGTTGATCCTATGTCCTGGCTCAAAAGGGAAGCAATGATAAATCTGAGTTTGTTCTTTTGTACTCTATTCAACGAGTCATAGCTTTCCTGGGGGTTCCTGCAAGAACAAATCTGGATGCTTCTGAAGTGCCGGGAATGATGAGCTTCCTGCAGAAGCACTGCTCTGCTGCAAATATTGGTAACCAACATTTCTAGAATATTTGACTCTAATCACTTCCAGCTAGCTGGCAGAGAAGCAAGAGAGGCACCTGCTGTTACAAGGAAGGATGGTCAGAATAACAAGAAATTATAGAAAGGAGCAGCAAAAAGATAACAAACCCTACTGAATCATTTGTACATCTCATGGGAGACTTAAGGCATAGAAGGTTAGGCACAACAGATACTCTGACCTCAGAGGAGTAAAAGAAATAATCACTCACCAACAACAACTTTGATTTCTTTGGTTTGGTTTATGCAATGAGCTGCAGTAAGAATAAAATTTTCATTCAGAATAGTTCCACCACAAAACTCTTCTCCTTCCTCGTTTAACAGAACAGCCTGTGAAGCAAAAAACACAAGGGCACAAGGAAGAAGTGCAGTTTAATGTAGATGAGCTATAATGAGGTAACTGATTTCTCTGCACACTACAGAGATGCTTCTTACTGCAACATGTATGTGGACCTCCATGTCTCTCCTAGCACTGCATTCCCATCCTCAGAATCTCCAAATACAGGAATTCATTTTGGTTGGCCCAAACTCAAGAGTACAACTGTGACACGAGGTTGACTTTCTGAACCAAAATGCTGTCTTTATCTGTTTTATCACCCTGCTCTCAGGTGTGCTGCCTGAGTGGATGGTCTCAGACAGAACCAAAATGTAACCTGCAAAAATGGCCTGGGAGACCAGCATGACCCAGAGTGTTCTCTGGGGATAAGGTAGGCAGTTCTGTCTCAAATGGCACAAAGCCTTTTGTTTTGAACCCGTGAGGCTGCAGTTTGCAGAGCAGCACATCCAAGTGCCCGGGGCCACACAGTTCAGCCACAAATCACTGCCACTGGCAGGTGACATGGGTGACGTTCAGAAGGCGCCCAGCTGGAAGGAGCCACTGCTCACCTTGCCTCAGAGACACATTCTGCCCACATGCAGGGCAAAGCCCCCTCCATTTACCTGCCATGGGCATTGGCCAGGAAGACACTCATCCCCACCAACTATCCTGGTATCCACATACGGAGTCTTGCCGCTTGTTCTGTTGTCAGGAGGAGGCGTTGGGCTCTCTGTGGTAATTGCAAAGTCCTCCTCTGCACT